TGTGTAGTGCCTCGCTGATGTCCAGTCTTCAGTTGTCATTATACCGTCCATTATCTCAGTGTTGCTTGTTAAGATGTTATTAGGGCTGTCGATTAAAGTACCTAGTGAAACTGCAAGCAATAGTTGTTATCCTACTTCAGGTTATCTGAAGCCTGCTCCTAGAGACATTTATTTCATGAACCTCTTAAATGCATCATTAGGAATAAACATTATTTATCTGTGCACTCTTGTGAAGTAGCAGTCATATAAGGAACAGGATGAGCCCATAGCCAACTGTGTGCCAGAGTCTTCATGTGGTCACGTGACCTGATCTCCCGTGTATCAACCTCTTTAGTGAATAAGTTCCAAATGCGAGTCAGCCTAGGAATGAATGATCGCTGATGGAGTGATGTCCTTGAGAAAGGCACTTCCAGCATGAAACTGTAAAGAGCCTAGTGCTACAGGTGCCTACTACTGGTTGTCCACGAAGTTGGGCCAGATGAAGAACTTTTAAAATGTTGGCCTTGTACATAACAATAAAAATACCAACGTCATGGCAGAGTTACATGTTCTGATGTTCAGACCGTTCCCCTCAGACTTGGTCAAGACTAGAGATGAGCCTTCTTGTCCGTCTCTCCACTTTGTCCAACAGTCTGATGAATGTTGGGGACAGACGATCAAGGAAAGGGGTGCATACTCTAGATGTGAACGAACTTGTGCTTCATACAAGGTTTAACAGCCCCTGCTGTCAAGAAAGTGTGAGATGCACCATAGAGCTGTAAGTTTCCTAGCTGCCTTTTGGGCTAGGTTAAGCACGTGGCTCTTCATTTTTAATGAAGAGTCGAACTTAAATCCCCAAAACTCTAGGTTTCTGCCACCCATTTGCAAGCCTGTCCGATTAGCAACGTGCTGTCTAGTTATCGTCATCGACTCTCGACGCATGAACTGTAATGGTATAACAGTCATATTTTAATAAACCAGTTTGACTTTACATAATTCATTGTGAAGTAATAATCATGGAGCCTAGCCAGTGTTCAGACGAGTAACGTGAAGGTTGCTGGTAGAGATATTCTGGTATGCAGATGCTGGCTAGAAGATGCTGAAAGCATCATGCTAATAGATGCTGGTATGGAGATGTAGGCAGGAAGATGCTGACTGCAAGATGCTGGCATGGAGATGTAGGCAGGCAGATGCTGACTGCAAGATGCTGGCATGGAGATGTAGGCAGGAAGTTGCTGACTGCAAGATGCTGGTATGGAGATGTAGGCAGGAAGATGCTGACTGCAAGATGCTGGCATGGAGATGTAGGCAGGCAGATGCTGACTGCAAGATGCTGATAGAGAGATCCTGGCATGAAGATGTTGGTAGTAGGGAGATCCTGGCATGGGGAGGTCTTGAAATGAAAGAAGGTCCATAGGAAACAAGATCTAAATCAACCCCCGTCTCGAGAAGGCAAACGGTCGCCTAATCCCCGCCATGAAGGTCTTGTCTCAGCGTGTTTAAACCAACTGCTGTTTTCCTCGGCCATGCTGTGAATTTGAATGTGATAAGCTCACTCATTTTAAATTTTATTCATTGGCTTATCTAAAGCCCTAACATTGTCCCCCGGGGGATGCCTGTGTAATTCCCGGCCAAAATAGAAACAAATTTTAGGGTATTTTGATGAAAATATTTTCGAGTTAGTTTCTACGTACAGTATAACATTTTGTGCAACTTTGCAGTTTGTGCTCAGTTCTTGCTTGTCTCAGTTGTTGATGTCGAGCTTTGTCTCAGTTGTTGATGTCGAGCTTTGTCTCAGTTGTTGATGTAGAGCTTTGTCTCAGTTGTTGATGTCGAGCTTTGTCTCAGTTGTTGATGTAGAGCTTTGTCTCAGTTGTTGATGTAGAGCTTTGTCTCAGTTGTTGATGTAGAGCTTTGTCTCAGTTGTTGATGTAGAGCTTTGTCTCAGTTGTTGATGTCGAGCTTTGTCTCAGTTGTTGATGTAGAGCTTTGCCTCAGTTGTTGATGTAGAGCTTTGTCTCAGTTGTTGATGTCGAGCTTTGCCTCAGTTGTTGATGTAGCGCTTTGTCTCAGTTGTTGATGTAGAGCTTTGTCTCAGCTCTTGATGTAGAGCTTTGTCTCAGCTCTTGATGTAGAGCTTTGTCTCAGCTCTTGATGTAGAGCTTTGTCTCAGCTCTTGATGTAGAGCTTTGTCTCAGCTCTTGATGTATACTGGTGAGCGGTAACAGCTTGGTGGTCAGAGAGCAAGCGGAAGCAGCGGGGTAAAGCTAGGCTGAATATTGAGAGCTTTTGTCTCGCTGTTTACACAAAAGCTTAGTCGCCTGATCGACAGTGGTTTTGAGGGGGCCCCGCTTATACACTCACACTCTTGCACTCACTGACACACTTTACGGGCTCACCATAGCCCATGCTACATGGACACTTCGTTCTGAGTAGCTAAATGTAAAACAATAACTGACATACTCATGTACCCACTGACAACCATCCAATCCACTAACATCCACTGGGGTGTGAGTTTTCAGTTGCATATAGTCCTGGGGACCATTCAGGCTTGTTCGCATATATATATATTGTGACGGTAACGCGTTGGTGTTCGGCTGTTCAAAGCTAGGGGTATGGCCTCGTCACATAGAATTAAAAAAAATAGAAAATCTGGAACTTCGTCTGTGGTAAGGTAAGGAGAAGACACACAAAACACAAGTAAATTTTAACAATGAAATTTAAATTACGTTAAATAAACAAAACATGAATAAAATGGACATACAAATTCGTATAATAAAATCAATCAATCAAAATAATAAGAATAATTAAATGGAAAAAATGAAAAGTTACGTTAAGACAAGTGAGCAATAACAAGCTGTGCAATATATAATAAAATGAGAGGTGCGGGAATATTGGCTTTAAGCTATCACCTCTCTTAGTACACTTAAGCCAAAGCTCAGTCTACCAGGAAGAAGTGTTAACCGTATGAAAGCACTGAATATTCTGAGGACTGAGGTCGTGGCGGCCCCAGACATCGAGTAGTATGGGGGGGTGGAGTGCAGTTGCAGCCAGACCGGCGGCCAATCAGCGAGTAGCCGGCAACAAGACAGGTAGTTTGGCGGTTTGAGGCTGAGCAGGTGTCCCTGGCTGCATACGTTTTGCGCTCTGGCAAACCTTGGAGATGTTGTTGTCGTTGTTGGACATTTCTTCCATAGTAGTTTTATATATTTGTTGCGACGTATTTTTGGAGGGAAGAGCAGGCTCAATCTCTTGAAGGAGATTATCGTTTATATATATATATATATATATATATATATATATATATATATATATATATATATATATATATATATATATATGTCGTACCTAGTAGCCAGAACGCACTTATCAGCCTACAATGCAAGGCCCGATTTGCCTAATAAGCCAAGTTTTCATGAATTAATTGTTTTTCGACTACCTAACCTACCTAACCTAACCTAACCTAACTTTTTCGGATACCTAACCTAACCTAACCTATAAAGATAGGTTAGGTTAGGTAGGGTTGGTTAGGTTTGGTCATATATCTACGTTAATTTTAACTCCAATAAAAAAAAATTGACCTCATACATTATGAAATGGGTAGCTTTATCATTTCATAAGAAAAAAATTACAGAAAATATATTAATTCAGGAAAACTTGGCTTATTAGGCAAATCGGGCCCTGCAAAGTAGGCCGAGAAGTGCGTTCTGGCTACTAGGTACGACATATATATATATATATATATATATATATATATATATATATATATATATATATATAATATATATATATCGTACCTAGTAGCCAGAACGCACTTCTCAGCCTACTATGCAAGGCCAAATTTGCCTATTAAGCCAAGTTTTCATGAATTATTTGTTTCTCGACTACCTAACCTACCTAACCTAACCTAACCTAACTTTTTCGGCTACCTAACCTAACCTAACCTATAAAGATAGGTTAGGTTAGGTTAGGTAGGGTTGGTTAGGTTCAGTCATATATCTACCTTAATTTTAACTCCAATAAAAAAAAATTGACCTCATTCATAATGAAATGGGTAGCTTCATCATTTCATAAGAAAAAACTTAGAGAAAATATATTAATTCAGGAAAACTTGGCTTATTAGGCAAATCGGGCCATGAATAGTAGGCTGAGAAGTGAGTTCTGGCTACTAGGTACGACATATATATATATATATATATATATAATATATATATATATATATATATATTTATATATATATAGCAATACAAAATGAAGATATCCAATTCCGTTATTTAATCAACGAGTTATCTCCCTCTAATACGTTCAAAATCGCGACGTAATAGTATCAATTAAGACACCGTAATTTTGACGGTTACATCGGCGCCTTCATAGGTTAGGCGGGTTGCTTGGGTGCGTACGTCTCTGATTAGGCAAAGCAGTTGATCAAAGCAGTTGATCGAGCGAACAAGGTTGATCAAATAGGGTTATCTTGATGTGGTTCCCCAGGATCAATGTCCCAGCCGTCCTGGGGTTCCCAGGATCAATGTCCCAGCCGTCCTGGGGTTCCCAGGATCAATGTCCCAGCCGTCCTGGGGTTCCCAGGATCAATGTCCCAGCCGTCCTGGGGTTCCCAGGATCAATGTCCCAGCCGTCCTGGGGTTCCCAGGATCAATGTCCCAGCCGTCCTAGGGTTCGAGCCCCTTGCATGACTCGAATTGATTTTGTCTTCGATACATCTCGCCAGCGTGACGTGTAATATTTCCTTGTGTAATATTATTATTAATATTTCCCTGTGTAATATTATTATTGTTGATGATAAAAGAGGGGGAAGGGGGGGGGGGAACACACATGGCTTGTGGCCCATATGTGTCGGGAACTATTTAACACATATTTGTCATCCCTGTATGCGATCAAAGGTAGTATATGTAGATTTTTCAAAATATTCGCTTCACTGACGCGGTTAGACAACTTCTTCCTCCTCATCTTGCGCGCGTTCCTCATCTTGCGCGCGTTCCTCCTCATCTTGCGCGCGTTCCTCCTCATCTTGCGCGCGTTCCCCCCTCATCTTGCGCGCGTTCCTCCTCATCTTGCGCGCGTTCCTCCTCATCTTGCGCGCGTTCCTCCTCATCTTGCGCGCGTTCCTCCTCATCTTGCGCGCGTTCCTCCTCATCTTGCGCGCGTTCCTCCTCATCTTGCGCGCGTTCCTCCTCATCTTGCGCGCGTTCCTCCTCATCTTGCGCGCGTTCCTCCTCATCTTGCGCGCGTTCCTCCTCATCTTGCGCGCGTTCCTCCTCATCTTGCGCGCGTTCCTCCTCATCTTGCGCGCGTTCCTCCTCATCTTGCGCGCGTTCCTCCTCATCTTGCGCGCGTTCCTCCTCATCTTGCGCGCGTTCCTCCTCATCTTGCGCGCGTTCCTCCTCATCTTGCGCGCGTTCCTCCTCATCTTGCGCGCGTTCCTCCTCATCTTGCGCGCGTTCCTCCTCATCTTGCGCGCGTTCCTCCTCATCTTGCGCGCGTTCCTCCTCATCTTGCGCGCGTTCCTCCTCATCTTGCGCGCGTTCCTCCTCATCTTGCGCGCGTTCCCCCCTCATCTTGCGCGCGTTCCCCCCTCATCTTGCGCGCGTTCCCCCCTCATCTTGCGCGCGTTCCCCCCTCATCTTGCGCGCGTTCCCCCCTCATCTTGCGCGCGTTCCCCCCTCATCTTGCGCGCGTTCCCCCTCATCTTGCGCGCGTTCCCCCCTCATCTTGCGCGCGTTCCCCCCTCATCTTACGCGCGTTCCCCCTCATCTTACGCGCGTTCCCCCTCATCTTAGGCACGTTCCGCTCATCCTCAACTGTTTTCAACTCATCTCTTACGCATGTCCCTCATGAATCTGTATTTATCCTTCTTGAATACATTGTTCTGTGGTTTGTGTTTTTATTTGGTATATTTAACACTATTTTCTAACCGGTTTAGATGGTTAGAATATTCTAACTCTCTAGAAATCTTAGAGTCCTAGATAACTCTAGTGTCGCTACATCGTATATAGACTATTGGGAAGGGTCCATATACGGCACCAAAGAAATATACAAAAGGGGGGAGGGGGGTTGTCACAACGCCAGAAAAATGATGTAGTTAACTGCCCGAACCTAACCTAACCTAACCTAACCGAGGATCGAGGAATAGAAAGCGTGTCGACAGCCCGTCAAAATTTGCGAGGCGCTATGATTTATACCTAGAACATCATATTTTGGCCGTTACAGGCCAAAAAAATACGTAAATATATACTTATAATACATAAAAAAATGTATAATATATAAAAAATACATAATATAAAAAATACATATACGTAAAAAAAAAAGATGCTATGTATTATTCGAGTGGAGAGGTTGCACCTGTAATACATACGGTCTCGCCCTTATTCTGTGCAACAGTGATGCCCTTATTCTGTGCAACAGTGATGTTCTTATTCTGTGCAACAGTGATGCCCTTATTCTGTGCAACAGTGATGCCCTTATTCTGTGCAACAGTGATGCCCTTATTCTGTGCAACAGTGATGCCCTTATTCTGTGCAACAGTGATGCCCTTATTCTGTGCAACAGTGATGCCCTTATTCTGTGCAACAGTGATGCTCTTATTCTGTGCAACAGTGATGCCCTTATTCTGTGCAACAGTGATGCCCTTATTCTGTGCAACAGTGATGCCCTTATTCTGTGCAACAGTGATGCCCTTATTCTGTGCAACGGTGATGCCCTTATTCTGTGCAACAGTGATGCCCTTATTCTGTGCAACAGTGATGCCCTTATTCTGTGCAACAGTGATGCCCTTATTCTGTGCAACAGTGATGCTCGAGGCGTGTAAAGAAAACCACAACAGGCATTCGCATTATAAAAAAAATCTGCCTTTCTGTGTGTTAGTTTTTTTCCACCTCACGAGCCGGGTGAAAAAAAAAAAAGATTTAATGTGAAAAATAGAATGAGATTTTGCTTCTCACCGAATATCAAGTATTGTACTCTGATTCTCGGGGGGGAAAATGGGATATATATACTTGTTACTTTTATTTTGAAAAAGCAAACACAGGCATTAACAGCAACAATAACAAGACAATGCTATGTCTATATTTTCTAAAATGTTAATCAGTAATAAGTTCTTCCCCCCCCCCCCCACCCCCCACTTCGCATTTGGAAAACTGGGATTATTTGAAGGAAAACAAAAAGTCTGATCCGAAATATATTTGGTTGTAGCAATGAACAAAATAGCAGCCTGCTTTTTTGTAGGTCTATTTCTCTATTTTTCCCAACTGTGTTAAGATGGCCCTTGTGTTAAATAACATATCCTTATCTACCCTATCAATTCCTTTGAGAATCTCGTATGTGGTGATCATGTCTCCCCCTAACTCTTCTGTCTTCCAGCGATGTGAGGTTTAATTCCCGTAGTCTCTCCTCGTAGCTCCTACCTCTCAGCCAGGGTGGTAGTCTGAGGGCACAGACTAGTACCTAGACTAATTATAAGTATATTATATTTATTATTATATATTTTTGTATATTTATTATAATTATATTTAGTATTATAATAATAAAAAGACGCAGACTAGCTCAGACTAATCTATGTGCGTGCGTGGGTGCGTTGGTGCAAACTTGAGTAGCATTTGTTTGTGAAGCTGTATAGTTGCGTAGTATGTGTTGATTAAATGTATACGGGCTCACCATAGCCCGTGCTACTTGGAACTTTTTGTTCCAGGTAGCGAATCTTTAACAACATGTGTTGATTGGATGTTGTGTAGCGTATATATGTAGAGCGACTCCAATCAGCCTATGGATTGGTCTTCTTAATAAATACTGTATTCTGCCTCTCCTCCTCCTCACAGACGCCGTCTTGTCGAAACACCTCTCGTACACAACCTCGAACGTGAACCTTAATCTTGGATGTGTTGCTGTCGACCCTTGTTTTAGTCCTCAGTTCACACATGATCTAATCTTCTTAAGCATGATATCTTGACTTTTCTTTAGCTCCTCTAGCCTCTTTTTCTTATTTTTGTTCTCTTCAGTTATCTCTTTTTTTTCTATCTTTTTGCACCTCTTCGTCTTCGCGATTAGGCCTTCTATGTATACTTTGTTCTTGTCGGCCGAGCGGACAGCACGCTGGACTTGTGATCCTGTGGTCCTGGGTTCGATCCCGGGCGCCGGCGAGAAACATTGGACAGAGTTTCTTTCACCCTATGCCCCTGTTACCTAGCAGTAAAATAGGTACCTGGGTGTTAGTCAGCTGTCACGGGCTGCTTCCTGGGGGTGGAGGCCTGGTCGAGGACCGGGCCACGGGGACACTATAAAGCCCCGAAATCATCTCAAGATAACCTCAAGATGCTATACTTCTAACCTTCAGGCCTTTCTCTCTCTCTCACATTCTTATTGACTCTCTCTTCCATATTTTCAGAAGTGTGGGTTTGGGGTCTTATTTTGGGTGGGGACGAAAAATCTAAATTTTTGCCTTCCTACAGCAGCACGTTTTCTCGATTTAAAACTCCGTAAAAAAATCGACTGTTGTGCCTAACCAAAAAACGTCAAAATATGCAACTCTTTTGCCCAACCAGAAACGTATTAACCCAAGAAACCCAACTAATACGAGGCCGATGACTAGAAAACGTCACTATTACACTGCATTAATCTTTACTACTGCATTGCATTTGCAATAAGAACATAAGAACAAAGGTAACTGCAGAAGGCCTATTGACCCATACGAGGCAGCTCCTATCTATAACCACCCAATCCCACTCATATACTTGTCCAACCCACGCTTGAAACAATCGAGGGACCCCCACCTCCACCACGTTACGCAATGAATTGGTCGATTCCGTAAAATATGCGACGTATTAAGTGGGAGGACAGGTTGTAGATGAAGCATCACTCAAGCAGTCACGTATTGGGCTTTTTATCTCGTATTTATCTTTTTATCTTTCTAGTCTTGAGGAAGCTGAGTCCACAAAAGAGGGGGGGGGGGAGAGTGAGGTGGAAGGGGGGGGGGAGGGATAGAGGTGAGAGGTGGATAAAGAGAGGAAGGTGGTTAAACATTTCCTGGACTTTATATACACTATCCACTAACCAGTAACCACGGGGGACATCTCCCGTCCACGAGGCTAACCATAGCCCGTGCTACTTGCCCCGCTCCTGTGCCAGGTAAGTTACGAGCTCACCATAGCCCGTACTACTTGCCCCGCTCCTGTGCCAGGTAAGTTACGAGCTCACCATAGCCCGTACTACTTGCCCCGCTCCTGTGCCAGGTAAGTTACGAGTTCACCATAGCCCGTGCTACTTGCCCCGCTCCTGTGCCAGGTAAGTTACGAGTTCACCATAGCCCGTGCTACTTGCCCCGCTCCTGTGCCAGGTAAGTTACGAGTTCACCATAGCCCGTGCTACTTGCCCCGCTCCTGTGCCAGGTAAGTTACGAGTTCACCATAGCCCGTGCTACTTGCCCCGCTCCTGTGCCAGGTAAGTTACGAGTTCACCATAGCCCGTGCTACTTGCCCCGCTCCTGTGCCAGGTAAGTTACGAGTTCACCATAGCCCGTGCTACTTGCCCCGCTCCTGTGCCAGGTAAGTTACGAGCTCACCATAGCCCGTCTTACTTGGAACTTGTTCCAAAGCTGAATCTAACAACAAGAACAACAACAACCAGTAACACCCACATTGACTGTGTGTGGTGCATTAGTCTCCTCTCACAGCATTAGATAGTACCGTCAACAGGACTATACCGTCTTACTGGTCATAGCTCCACGGTACATATAATGTGTGAGTTCTTCAGGTGTTATGCATTCCCTAAATGGAGGGAGTCCTAGGGGAGTACATCCCTTAAGGGGGAGGGAGCCCTAGGGGGCAGTACATCCCTTAAGGGGAGAGAGCCCTAGGGGGCAGTACATCCCTTAAGGGGAGAGAGCCCTAGGGGGCAGTACATCCCTTAAGCGGAGAGAGCCCTAGGGAGCAGTACATCCCTTAAGGGGAGAGAGCCCTAGGAGGCAGTACATCCCTTAAGGGGAGAGAGCCCTAGGGGGCAGTACATCCCTTAAGGGGAGAGAGCCCTAGGGGGCAGTACATCCCTTAAGGGGAGAGAGCCCTAGGGGGCAGTACATCCCTTAAGGGGGGGAGAACTCTAGCGGGCAGTACATCCCTTAAGGGGAGAGAGCCCTAGGGGGCAGTACATCCCTTAAGGGGAGAGAGCCCTAGGGGGCAGTACATCCCTTAAGCGGAGAGAACCCTAGGGGGCAGTACATCCCTTAAGGGGTGAGAACCCTAGGAGGCAGTACATCCCTTAAGGGGTGAGAACCCTAGGGGGCAGTACATCCCTTAAGGGGAGAGAGCCCTAGGGAGCAGTACATCCCTTAAGGGGGGGAGAACCCTAGCGGGCAGTGCATCCCTTAAGGGGTGAGAGCCCTAGGGGGCAGTATATCCCTTTAGGGGAGAGAGCCCTAGGGGGCAGTACATCCCTTAAGGGGTGAGAGCCCTAGGGGGCAGTATATCCCTTTAGGGGAGAGAGCCCTAGGGGGCAGTACATCCCTTAAGGGGAGAGAGCCCTAGGGGGCAGTACATCCCTTAAGGGGAGAGAGCCCTAGGGGGCAGTA